GGATGAGGGTTTTTCACTTCTACTTCTCTACTTATTACTTCTTTTTACAAGTCAGCTCAACACTTTTTCAGCAATCATTTTCTGGGGTGGGCCGTACCCACCCAGGCCCCTCCCAGGCGACACCCATCATTCGGACCTAAATGTCAATCAAAAAACCAACTGTACTGTATAATAAACAGGTACAGCCTTCTCGCTGAAATTGTATTTTTTAATGTAGTATAGGACCTACAAACACTTGTCTTTTTCTTTTACCCGCGACCCCGTGTAAGGCTTCGCGACCCCCTGGGGGTCGCGACCCACAGGTTGAAAAACACTGATATAGATAATACGATAGATATATTTTACAGTAAAGTTTAAGTAGGATAAAGGAGAAATATAACTAATGCTCCACGTCTCAAATTTACAATAGCACAATTTAAAAAGAATTCCATGTACTGTACAACATTTAAAGGAAAATGGAGTTCATTTTCCTTTAAATGAACTCCATTTTCCAGTACAGTCCAACATTTAAAGTAAAATGAACTCCATTTTCCTTTAAATGTTGTACTGTACATGGAATTCTTTTTAAATTGTGCTATTGTAAATTTGAGACGTGGAGCATTTGTTATATTTCTCCTTTATCCTATTTAAACTTTACTATAAAATATACACGAATGCTTGATGGGACGTACTTTTTATCGGCAGACGTAAATTGTTATTATATGCTGGATTGATTTTACTAAAGATTTATTGAGTATTTTATAATAATACGGGTATTTTATTCAGGTATGTTAAACTTAACAGTGAGAATTAGGTAATTAGTGTTAGTAAATGTGTTGAAGAGAAAACATATATATTCATATATTATATATTAAACACATATCGCCATCCACGACGCAATGCTGTGACATTGCATGCGATGAAACGTGCAACACTGAGTTTGAAATAATTTTTAAGTATGATTAGTGACAGTTTTTTCACCAAACAATACAGCCAGATTTCATTATTAAAAAAATCATTTTCTTCAATATGAACTTTGTTAATTTTTATATATATAAAAGGTTTACCATAGCAAAAATGCTTAAATAAAAGTATAAAGCCATACCAGTAAGTTTGAGAATCGAAAAGTAAAAAAATTCATAGATTAAAAAAGCAAAAGACGTTTTATCACTTCAAAAATTGAAAAATTAAAAATTTATATTTCTAAACATAACGTATAATCCAACAGATTTATTCGATATTTTCTGACACTTTACCGACGTTTCGAACTATTGTAAATATTATATTTAAAAAAAAACTGTTACGTGTATTACAGAGTTTTGTATAATTAACAGAGATAAATATTCTTCGTTATCGTTCAGTATTTCTATTGTTTAGGAGGAAAATATAAATCATGACATTTACTGTGATTTTTATTCGTTTCTTACAGTTACATCCATTTTAACTGAATAATTTTAAATTATATTAGTGAAGAAAGTTATTGTTTCGAGAAACTTTCCTGCAAACCTTCAAACCCATTGTTTATCAAATACTTTCTTTAATAATGCGCGCAACCTATTTGTGAGGGACGAACAAACCCACAATATAGTGTTATTTTAAATTTGAATTATTAGAAACTTTAATCGATTAAATTCGAACGTTTTATCGAGTTAGGCTAAAAGCCATAAAATTTATTTCCCACGGAGTTTGTTCCTTGTTGAGTCGAATCAAGTTAGTCAGGGATGTGTCACCAGGAACTTTTGATGGAGAATCCATATTGGACGTGCGACCGTTNGCATAATATTACGGTGGGGCACAATTTAGGAAAACATGCTTTTAAAAAAGTAAAATAAAAACAAAATGAATAAGATTTTTTTTTGTTATACCAAGAGTTCGTACTCGCACATGCGCATTATAACAATGACACATGCAAATTTTCATTTATTTAATTGTTTTGGTATACACATAACGGGAAACAAAAGTTTTAATTGATATATAATATCGCTTAGAGGGTTACACAATTTAACGTGACTAGCCGCGGGTTAGCCAGGTCTGCTACAAACCATCAAACCCATTGTTTATCAAATACTTCCTGTAGTATTGCATGCAGCTTACTTGGCATTAAAAAATAATAATAATAGAAATTGTTTATAAATTTCAATTTAGTTTTTTTAATTTTGTTCAATTGTTTCCTAATTTCAATATATAAAAATATTTATTAGTATTTTCAGACTATTAATTCACAAATATTTTTGAATTTAATATTATTGAATACACTTAGAAAATAATTAGGTTTTTTGTTTTATTATTTTAAAAATAATATACACAATAATAATACATAAATAAGTATTTTTCCTATCAGGATCCGAAAATCGAGATCAAGTCATTAAGATTGCCTACTCGAAAGTAAGTAAAACCATTTTCTTAAAGTTCAAAATTAAACATCGAATTCATTTACTTTTCAAATTTGACAGTACTCGAAAAATCCAAATAGATCCTGTGACGAAATAATGAAATATTCGACTTGGAGAATCCGTTTTTTATACGAAACTGTGAAATTCAAGTAACGTATATTTATTTCGTATTTTATAAATAATTCCGAATTTAATATTTTTTTCCCCATCCTCTATTTGTCTTGTTCGTCCTGACAATTTTTTATATTTCGTAATTTGCTAAATAAAGTTTGAACTTATTTTGCTTATATTATTTAAAATGTCGAATATGCGAATATCATAATATAATCCTCACGTGCGAATAAGCAATGTTTTGTGCATGATTCTTTTTTCTGAATATTAATTATTGGCGTAATTTATCAAATTGATTAGAAAATTTCTTAAAGATCTGCGATTTTTGTCGATAAACGTGTGTATTATTAAAATAGATAAGAAATCGCTTTATTTATCTATTTTATATCATTTAGCAAAAATTATAAGTTATATAATTATCTTATTTGTATTGAAACGCATCCATTATCCTTGAAATTTTACTTTCTTAACAAAATAGCTTTTTTATTTCATGGTTAATTACTTAAATACATCGAAAAAAAATATTATTGTAATATTTTGATCTTAATATTTCTTAAAACAGTATTTTATGTGTACGCTTTATTTTCGAAACAAAATAAATTCTGAAGCAATTTTCTGACTGTTAAATTTCCTTTGTGGATTCTTATATTAAAACTAGCGAAATCAATTCTATTAAATTGTGGAGTTTGCTGGACAGATTCGTAAAGAGGAATACAGTCGTACTTCTATGAAATTTGGCGCTAGAATACTGAAACGTTCGAAGATAGAGTGGTTCGAAACACGAAGTAACACTAGACACATTAAATTTTGGGTGAGTAAAAAAATAATTTATAAATGTTAAACGATTGATTTTTTCAGATGTGAATATGCTCGACCAAACAAGACTCAATTGTTACAACAGTATCCCGGTATGCGTTATTCTACAGCTCAAGTATTGAATGGGGTAAGTAGAGACATTTTCACATTTAAAGAAAAAAACAGTAATAAATTCGTTAGGAAATAGCTAAAAATTGTCTTTTTTTGTAATAAAAATTCAGTAAGTAGATGTATTTCTTTATGGAATATTGAATTTTTTACATTTATGAACAATATACCATTTACAATTTAAAATAATATAATGTGCTGATCGAAAATGTTATTTAATTTACCTAAATTTGTCAATATTTTAAGTTTAGACGTATTATTTACATTTCGAACAATAATTTGGTCATTTCAATAGAGATAACTTTCATTTTCCACTGTTTTAAGAGGAAATGCAAATCTAAAGAGTAGAGACGATGCCAGTATAGAGAAGAGAACATCTCTCTCGTGTGTAATGACTTGATTTATTGCAGTTTTGATTTATTGGTAACGTACGATTTTGCAGATTACAAATAAGACAAAACTGCAAAATTATTATTCCTTAAAACGAAATGATATGAGTTGAATATTCACTACTGTAATCATTTCAATATAAACTTATTAAACATGGGAGTATAGATAAATATAATATTCACAATTTCTACAGGTTTCTGCTGTGTTTCACGACACTTCTACAACTCGGTTTTGCTCTAACTTCGTTCCAGAATTTGGGAAATTCTCCGTACAAAATTTCACACTTTTTAAGCGTAAACTCCGCTATTCGATATTTTTTCATTGAAGTATGCACGATGTCTCAAATTTGTCAACGGATTTTAGAATATTGAAATTTTCAATTTGTTTTGTTCCATTCGTCAGATTTACTATAAGGAAAACTAATAGGAAAACTAATAACCATGTCTTAACTTTTTATCAACCAGGTGTCATTGTTGTTTTCAGACTTTAGTCTTTATCACTGTGGCCGTGTGTTGTTTTTATAGACTAATCTTCGTATTTAGTAAAGTTTATTTAAACATTTTTTAGTAAATGTTATTAAACATTATAGCAATATGTAAGCAATCATTCGTAAAATTGACGAATAAAATACGGCGATATCCGAATACTCGAATACCTGTTCTGGAAACAAAAATCGCTCGGTACTGGAATGAATAGTTTTTAATAGATTACTAAATAAAAATAAGATATAAATTTTATATTTGTTCTAGCTGCTAGCATTTACCCGATAGAACAAATTTGCGATTAAAAACATATTTTCATTTTGTCATTCATAAAAATTTCTATGGTAAAAATAAAAAAACTCTGATGTTGGTGAGACTCTAATCAAGGTCAACAGAAAAGAGAAAAGGTCAGAAGACGATATTCGTAATAAGAAATTTCACAGGTTTAAATAAAATTAATGTTAACGCGTCATTCAGTACATTTAGTTGTAATTGTTAGTTAATTATCGTTTGGAATAAATTATCAATTGCTTTAATAAACACATTTCTATTGGTAACGAAAAAAATTGCATACTTTTGTAAACTTTTAGAATCTAACACCATGTTTTGCACTAGTCCTTCGTTTATGATAGCACAGATTCTCATAACACGTACTGTTTTGGAACTAACGTGTTATACGAGGGATACCTGTATTTCTATAGTTTAACTACTTTTCTATTGTTCTTCGTTACTTCCACAATTTCTACGTCACGCAAAAAGGTAGTATTTTTATTTTGAAAATAATTAAACGCCACCGCAAACGCTATAAAAATGGAATCCGAAGGAAAATAAAAACATTAATTTTAATATAAAATTGAGCAAATCCATCGAGGATAAAAACATGAGAAATAAAAACGATTATATTAGGATTGCTGGCCGCGCGTGCTTTGTGGTGGTATCCCATATTAGAAACAAACGGCCCTGAGTAATTACTGTAGTATTTCAAATGTATACATTAGTAATAGTTCGTTTTGAAGCTAATCCCTGTAAAAGATTTCAATAGCAAATATTGAAACATTTTCATTCTTTTCTAACTGCACTTAAAATCAACCAAACTTCAAAAAAACCTTTTAATATGCAATATTTTTATTAAATCTTCTAAGTTTTTCGGTCAGTTGATTGGCCTTTTTCAAGAAAAAAGAAAGATTCCGATTTTTACCGAAAGACACAAGGTAACAACTATTGTTATTTCTTTAACTGCCTTTTTTCTCACTAATATTTTTATATTACGCCCGTCTCCCTGCCTCTGAAACTATTCGATTCTCTAAATTTTATCACTTCTCCTGCCTGTTGGTCTTGTGTATTTGCCATGCTTTCATATTTAACGTATCGCTGTGTGCATATTTAACGTATTGTGTATTGTGCTGTGTACATATTTAACGTATTGTGTATGCCATGCATATTTAACGTATTGTGTATGCCATGCATATTTAACGTGTCGCTTGTCCTGACTCTTTTATATTACTTCTGTTCGTTTCCACTTCACTATCACCTTTATCGGGTCTGCTATAGCATAAGTCGCTAGTGCAGTGACTGGCTGCTCATTCCGTAAGTAACTTTTATACTCTGACTCTTTCTTTTAACGAACTCCCTGTGGCTCAAAGGTAATAAAGCTCTTTTTGCAGCCTTCCCCCTTGTAAGGATATTCTTCAAATTATAGGAATAAGGTTCTGGTCTGTAGCTTCCATTATCGTACATAGCATGTGATATACTGTTAGATTTTTTGTGAACTATCATTTTGTTTGTTGCTCCTCCTATTTCTTTGTAAATATTAGAGAATGCCATGTATTTCTTCACTGTGCGTTCTTCTATTCGTCCCTATTCATTAACTTCGTTACCGTCCTTTCTTTTGTTAATTATGGCCTTTACCGTATTCGGATTGACTCCGAATCGCCATGCTAGCTCTCGAAGTGATCTAATTCCTTAAGTCTGTCCTTGAACATTTTCATTCATTATTTCCTCCACTTTATTGTAGATATGATCTAGATTTGTTTATTTTTCGTTTAAGTATTACAGAATACTTAAGTAGTTAACAAATTAACTTTATTTGCTTACAATTATAATTGAATTAAAATAGTAAAGCTTGAAGAAGTACAAATATTTATAAACGGAAAAATATTTGGAATCGATGTTTAAGAAAATCAGATAATGTTGGAATATCGAGGTAAATAAATTCACGAATAGAGAAAATATTAAGAAGCCTGCATTAAAACAAATGCAATTAAATAAACTGCATATTTTTTAACAGATTGCAAGTAGATTAATTTATTTTTGCTCATTCGAGGAATGTCAATTTAACAGTTGTGTATCCAAAGATTAATAATTTCAAATGCATTACGCCACTTAAGAGTTTTTCCATTGACAAAAATATATTAATTAATGTATTAAACTTCATGCAAGTTCTATTGTAATTAAAAATTTAATCAGAAAAGTCAATATTTATTTTATTGTGTTAATACGATATTTGGACGTTTAAACAAAATTGTTTATTTCGGATTAAAAAATTTATTTTTTCTCTTCAATATTATTAAAAATATTCATCAAAATATTTCATTTTGTAAAATATATTTATTACTTATCTTCAGCTTCATTATATTTACGTAGTTCCTTTGGTTTTACATTTATAAAATAATTTTCTTTTTATATTATAAATAGGATGCTGATATTGCAAGTACACGCCAAAGTATTTCATTTCAATTGTTTACCAGAATTCAATTGTTTAGTAAAATTGATTTTTCTCCACCCGTTTACTCTCATTCAATTAAATTCGTTATTCAACTAAATCAGAAGAAACTGTCGTGGCTGGCAATAATTAATCCCTTCTCACTTTGGGTATGTATCGTACTTCTTTATCCCAGTGTTATTTGTTGTATTGTTTTTAGGAGTAAATAGACAAATCTCTCCTGCAGGTATGGCTAGCAATTTGCATAACCACGACAATTGCTGAAATATTGTTATACAAAATTATAAATTTCAGTTTTTCAGTAACTAGAAGAGAGAAAATATGGAATTATAAAAATTTATGTTGGTTTCTTTTCGCAACGTTCGTTAATCAAGGTATTTAATGTCCATAAAATAAATTGTAACAACCAATTAATATGATAAATAAAATGATTGTTGAAACGTTAACTAGATTTGTTTTTATTTTCTAGGAGTGAATTTAGCGTCAATTAAAAGAAATTCGTGTAGATTGTCTCTTGGCCTTTGGTTATTACCTGTCTTAATTTTGGTCTGGGGTTACGGTGGAATTTTGACGTCATTTATGACAACTCCACCCAAAGATGTCGTACCGAGAACATTTGAGGAGTTGGCATCCGCTGTTGATAAAGGAGATTTTTCGTGTATAGCACGCAATGATCCCACGTTAAAACATTTTCTTAACGTAGGTATTGTTTAAGAATTTTTTATAAATATGAAGTAGACGTTAACTTTGTAGAGTATTGGGCTTTCCATAAATACGTGGTATTCTTCAAATGTTAACTTTATAACAGTCAACACTTTATTATAATTTAGAATTATATAAACGTTGTATATAAACCACAACTATACCCAGCAGAAAATAATTAAATATGTAATCAACACCTTATCACTTGCTGAGAGATTTTTTATTAAAACAAACGTTTTCGATCCATTCAATGGATCGAAACATTAGAACCTTTTGTAATATAATATTTGTGTTCTTTTGATCCTTATACCTAGGATTTTAGTAGTAACCCCTACATATTCTTTTTTATTCCTAATAAAAAGAGCTCCGAATTTGTACAAAATACTTAGAAACGATAAAGGAGTTGTTAAAAAAGAAGATAAGGCGGGTATGTATAAGATTCCCTACGAGAACCAGCTATTAGGAATTAAAAAAAACAATATGTAGGGGTTACTACTAGAAACCTAGGTATAAGGATCAAAGAACACAGATATGATATTAGAAAAGGTTCTAATGGGACAGTATTGGCCCAGATGGCGCAGGCAGAAGGTTCATTGATACGATGGGATAAAGCGGAAATCCTGAAACAGATACACTTTCCGACTTTGGCAAGAACAGCTGAAAAGATAGAAATTTATAGAAGCAAGCT